GGCAAGAGGACGAAGGCCCCGAGGGGGTTTGTTAAATGACGCTTGGTAAATAACATCAAACAGATTTCTACCGCTTTGACTTGAGGCAGCATAATGGCTCGGTGAGCGAGTCTACATTTACAAAACAGCAGGCCTTGTCTGACACCTTTGGTGTCTATTAGTCTGATTATAAGCACACCCGATAGGAGAACGCCAACGACTGCTGGCGCTCTTATGAAACGGTTTCTATTTTATATCTGCCGTAATTATAACATGCAATGTGTATGTCACGTAATTTAAAAGCGATCTGAAGAGCCGCTTTATGCTCAAGCCATCTGGTTGTATGTCGCAGGCATATGTAAAAAGTATGGGTTATAATTAGAGACGGACGCATGTAAAAAAAAATACACACACACACACACACACACACACACACACACACACACACACACACACACACACACACACACACAGTACACACACTGAACATGTACTGTGTACCCTTTGTGTGTGTGTGTGTGTGTGTACTCTATATGAGTTTGCATAAGGTGTCACGCACATACTGGCCAGGCTCTGGTGCCTCTGAGGAAGTGAGACTGTGTGATGGAATTTTTGGCACTCGGGACCTGGTTTATTTTCCACCCCGGATTCCTGTTCTACCTGCAAGATTTTCCCAGGTTCTGGCTTCAATTAGCCTGGGAAGCTGGAAAGAGGGGAAGGGATCTCGGGCTTTAGAGGGAAGGACGAGGCGGGAGGGAAGCGAGGGAGGGAAGCGCGACAGAACTGGAGTCTGTCACACACAAGTCAGCACAGCTGGAGTGTTGGAAAGAGGGCCAATGAGCCCGCAGAGATAAAGGACGCTTCCAAGTTGTAAAACTTTTAACACGGAATTCAAGGATGGGTTAATCTGGTAATGAGATAGCAATTTGAACAGTTTGTGATGAAGGAATTTGATGTTGCCCAAATAGCAGCCGTACAAAGACTTCTTTCATACCCGTCGTGTTGTTAATGTATCTCTCTAAAGAGCGTCACATAGCTAAGTCGAGCTTGTCAGAATAAGTCCCGAGAGGTCTGACCCTCTAAATTGCAAATTCATCCAACAAATGAGTGGGAAACACTCTGTAATCAAAGCCCAATCACATAATTGCTCTATTTTGCCACTAGCTCAACCATCTCCTGTGAGATTAGTTGTTCAGAGTAGAAACTTGATACCCTGGGAAGTTCAACAGATGTGGAGCTAAACAAGCTCATCTCTGCAGAAAGAAGAAGAAGACATCATCAAAATAATATGTTCTCACTTGAAGGCCCGCGTCACCACACGGGAGCTGTCTGGGCCACTTTTCACAACGGACACAGCGCAAGCAAGGCGTCAGGACACACGGAGGAGGCGATGTGTTGTGTTGATGTACACTTGACCGTGTCAGCTCTGACATATTTCAAACCGCACAGACAGGACCTCACAAAGGGACAAAAATGTACCACGGCTCCTCAAAGTCTTGGGCTGCTTCAAGAATTTGTGAGGTTAAAACAGAAGGAAGCAAAGTCGCTCAATCCATTTTTTTTTTGTTGGCAGATCATGTTCAACTTCGGCTCAGGAATCTTATCAGCAGTGATAAGCGTGAGAAAAGATATATTAGTTCTTTTGGGTATTTTCCTTCGGGTGCCCCTTCCAGATAGACTCTGTGACTGTAGATAGTGGAATCAATGCTGACAATGTGAGAAATGACACATTTCCGCTGCATAGCTTGCATTTCTCACGGTTTCCATCACAGAGGCACTTGGAGGTGGGGACGAAAAAAAAAAAAAAAGACGATTCACATTCCAAATGCGGTCTGTCAATTGAAAATGCATTAAATAGTCCCCACAGGAATCTGCAGAGAAAAAGCGTTGATTCCACGGAGGACAATCCTGATTCTGCGCAGAGCAAATCTTGATTCCACGGCATGAAAGTTGATTTTCTGAAGGCATTAAAAAAAAAAAAAGACCTAAAAGACCAGTTATAAAGCAAATCAATGTAGTAATGAATTAAGAGTTGTTTTCGCAAATTATCTGCAAACTAAAACACTGAGAAACATTGCGGTGATAAAATAATCAACATCAATAATTTCAATGTCACGCCAGGGCAGATTTATTGAATAGTAATAATTATTTTAGATTTTATTTTCATGATTTATAAAGTGCAAAACATTTCACCAAATATGGGTTGAAGGTAGAACAAGTGGTTTTAAAGCAAAACTGAAAATGGACACTAACCACTTGACCAGGATATTGTAAGCATACTGCAGACAGGTATGATAGTTGTAATTCAACCAACATTTATTACGCGCGGCGATGACCTGACGTCATCTTTAGTGGGCATCTCCGTTATGTGACTTCATCTTTGCCAGTGTTAGAATCCATTGCGCCTGTCCTCAGTGTTCCACTGTGTGGCCCCTCCCTCTGTGCTGTTCTTGACTGCTTTTCCCTTAATTCAGTGTGCGCTGGGCGTCTCCCCAATCATGACAACTGTCTCCCCCACACACCTGCCAGTCTTCACGTCACTGGCCACACTCTCCAGTAAATATGACTGACTAGAGGGCAAACTGTTCAGATGGACAGAATTTTGCATCAGAATCGAACTTGGTTCTGCCTGGATATTTGAGTTTGGCCATATGGCCGCTGAATGTGGCGTCTGAATGGGTCAACATGCTGCGTGAAACTGGGAATTTGGCAGCCTGGCCCCAAAATGAGTGCCACTAAAATGATACATCAGAATATGAATGAAAATACGCTCCATGCTGGCTCAGCTGTACTTCAAATGTGTCACAAATCACCATCCCGTAGCTTCCCCCGGTCGCCATGGTAACACAATGCTGTAGTAGAGACAAGTACCCTGCAGTTGCTCATGACTTTGAGATAGAACGGCCCCCCTCAAAGCTGGCTGATTTTAACAGGACTGTAAAAAAGAGGGTGAAACATAAGGAACATTGCATATTTTGTCTCGCATCGACACTGAAAAACTGTGCTTACGTAACAGTCATTTAAATATCCCTATTTATTTCCAGACTATGGAATTGGATTGCTTTACTGCAATTTGCAAAGCATTCTCCTTACTTTGTGCACCGCTGTCAGATGACTCTTTGCTGCGTAAAAATTTGTCTTGACAGCTGGGTCGTAAATGATTTAACGGCAAATGAAATCCGCAATCAGTTTTTCATCAGATGATCTTCCAGGATTTTAAAACTCAAGTAGAGTTCATGCAGACACCAGAGTTAAAGGTGGACGGAAATATCAGGAATCTATTTCCAGAATTAAAGAATGTGCACGCACACACACACGCACACACACACACGCACACACGCACGCACGCACGCACGCACGCACACGCGCGCGTGCAAACACACACACACACACACACACACACACACACACACACACACACACACACACACACACACACTGTCTGCAACATCATGAGGTTTGTCGTCTTAGGAAAAAGACAAATGTCATCATTAAGAAATATGATCTCCATGGCAAATGTTTCACATGGAGTGGAGCTGCTCTGCTTAAAATCGTATTGTTAAAAATATTTGTCTCTGGCAGGGCTGGGCCGTTTTCAAAGGATTACACATTAGTTTGTGTGAGGGTCCATTATAACTTTGTTATACAGCGCCTTAAAAAGATCAAAAGAAAACAAACAAACCCCCATCATATAGAATTGAAGAGGGCATTGTTATCATTTTTCTGTGATCATATATTCCATGCATCCATTTTGTACAGCACTTGTTCTCATTTGGGTAACAGGTGAGCTGCAGCCTATCCTAGCCAGCTTACTTTGAGCGAGAGGAGGGGTACACACCCCGGACTGGTCAACCGTTCATACTCACATTCACACCTGACAATGTTAAATATTCATTTGAGGCAGGCATGCTAATCACTTGCCCACCATGCTGCCCCTTTTATCAGATTATAACAAAATAATTGTATTTTGTTGGATGAGGAGAAGACACATGCATTTGTCAAATCGTTTCTTGCACATTTCTAGTACAAGTGTCTTTCAGCTCGTACCAGTATGTAAATAATTATATATTGATGGGCAAAAATAATCCCAATGTTGACAGAAAAAAAAACCCGCATTGTCAAAACAGTCAAACTAAGTCATGAGTGAGAAATGTTAAAAATAACAAGACAGAAGGGGAGTGAACAAACTTCCAACAATAATGTTAAAAGCCTGACTTTCCAGCAGGACTAAGCATGAGGTAATGCTGAAAAACAAAATTACAGTCGGAAACCACAAGCCTCTGTATTTTTTCTTGAGAGTTTCTGCTTGTCAGAGGAGCTAAGAGGGTCGGCAGCTGCTCTTTGGATCTTTCAGGTTGTTTAAAGCCAAGAGAAGTATTGTAATCCACCAAGACAGGCCTGCGGCGCTCGCTCTCTCTCTGTCATGCACGCACGTGCGCACACACACACACACACACACACACACACACACACACACACACACACACACACACTTTGGGCAAATGTGTCTGCGTTTGTGGTGCTGTGGTGATTCAATATGTTGACAGCTACAAGTTGTACCACCGGGAAGCGGGAAATTTGGCCACAGCCATTGCGTAATACATCTGCCAGCTAACTTTGAGCCTAGGTGCAAGCATTTCTGGTTCCTGCCGGCCACGCTCCAAAAGGTGGTTTCCATGGTGATGACAGTATGAAATATAGGTCTCTAACCCTAAAAATAGCTGGAGCACACTGTGCGATTAATTTTTAAACGTCAAAACAATCTCAATTGCCCTTGCAAGTGTCCTACACTGGTCCCACTGTGGTGAATTTGTGTCTGAGACCACACACAAAGGTTTTTTTTACAAGTTCCTGCCACTAACACAAAATGGACAAATGTTCACTTGTCTGTGCTGACCGCTGCAACACCTGAGTGATGACATTGGCTCACAGGTACCTATACACACATACACAACATAAACTTCTCCCACATTACATAAAAAAATAATAAAAATTAAAAAAAAAAAACTCATAGCACTCACCTGGTTGATGTGCTTGAGTTTGTCTATCATCTGACTGATGACAGGCTCGAGGGGCTTGTTGTTTCGGGATTCAGAACCTGAGTGTGAGCGCTTCAGGTTGGGCCCCGAAAACCTGACAGAGCAGCAAGACAATGCATTATATTGCTGAATTAGAAATACAGTCATTGGCATAGGGCACTGACATCAGGGTGTAAAAAAATGAACACTCGACCATAAAGTTAAAAACTGCTTGATACAGTATTAAGCGCGAACTGCATTGTATTGAGAGATGTTTCCAAAACAAAGGGCATTGTTCATAAATATAAATTCCAAGTATTCTTGCCAAGTACTAACTCAATATATCCATCCATCCATTTTCGATTTTTCGGTTGCGCTAGAGCATAATCCAAATGGTAGACAAACACGCATTCACACTCACATTGACACAGATGCAGAATTTAGTTTTCAATAAACTTAACACGCACGTTTCTGTAACGTGAAGGAAAGCCAGAGTTTCTGTAGAAAACTCATGCAAACTCAACACCGGAAGGCAAGAGTTGAGATTTGAACCGCGAACCTCCCAACTGTGAGGCAGACGCACAAATTAGTCCACTGTGTTGCATGTTGTCAATATCATCATATCCGATCCGGTGAAACACCGACAGACATATTTTTGACCTCAGGAAAATGAGATCAATGGTTATTTAAATATTTTTGACTCTAATCAGGAGAGGCCCTTGGGCTCACACTAAAACAGTTCTGTACTAGAAGACAAATCAGCTGGCCAGTGGCTACACACAGTCCTGACAGATAAATAAAAATATATTTAAAAAAATAGATAAGAAGACAAAGCTAAAACTTTTATGACAGCGTCTGCTCAAACGACATGGGGGTTGTTATTATTCTCTGGGTAAGTGACTAAAACTTGGAGTTTACTGCCATCTCGTGGTGATTGTGTAAATGGCAGGCCCTCTTTTTTTGAAATGTAAATAAATCTCTTTTGATTTATTTATCATGTACATTTACAACTTAACACGAACGAAAAGCACCCCCCTTCATTTGTAGGTTATTTAAATAATAACATTGTTTTAAATAGTCAACGGAGAGTCCCCTGCACAGTGCCACCTCGAAAGCAAGGTAGCCATGGATTTTTTTTCACATCTCTACAGATTTCTCAAAAGTGACAGAACCCACATTTCATGTTTACTTTTGCCAGTCCAACCCATTCTCCTAGTATATAAAGGAGGGAAAAACTGTTTGTAACTGCACACCACGGGATAAACATTTAGAAACATCCACTAATCAGGCAATTGACGACTGAGGATGGGGGTGGTGGGGGGGGGGGGGGCCCAATTAGGATATAATTATTTCCAGTGTCAAACTTATACATTCATAAATCTTTTTTCTTCACATGTGATTTTGGTATCATGTCAACACTCTCACCTGTGATATTAGTGAAAAAGAAACCACGGCTATTTATTAACATACAGTGCTGTAACTTTGACAACTTCTAATGGAATCCAGCAGGCCTCATGTACACACACACACACACACACACACACACACACACACACACACACACACACACACACACACAAAAACGAAATTTACCTTCAATTTCCATTAAGCAGACTTTTTCTGTGCACTAATTCTGTCTTTCCATTAAATTCAGAAGACGTTTTGCCGAATTATTTATTCTTCTTATTAGGAACAATCTCCACCCTTTCCGCTGCTAATTATCGTATTAATAATGGAAAGGGGGAGGGGGGGATCCATTTAGCAAAGGATCAGAGGATGTGTGGGTTGAGGGGGGAGATGGATTAGAAGATGGAGCTAGGTTGATGCTCCATATAATAGTTCCCTGTAATGTTACCAGATGCAACATATTGTATTTATATATTTTGTTTTCTAACTATATTCATGTTATACTACTTTGATCAGATTATTCAACCAAAATTAGACCGGCTGATACAGCTGATTCTCAACAGAAGTGCAGCAATTTTCACATTATATGATGGCGCACACCCGCCTTAGCTAACAGGTACGGACAGAGGTCACACTTTTTTGTGTTTTGCCTCTTCTGTTAATGCAGCCACTTGATGCTGGCCTGTTCTCCATCCCAAACACCAAGCTATGGACATCTGGGGAGAGAGCTTTCAGTGACACAGCCCTCCAAATCCCTGAAACAACCTCCCGACTGAAATCTGTGACGTGACCTCCCTGAAAATTTGTTTTTAACAAGACGTGAAACGCACCATTACTTCACTTAAGCATATATTTAGTGACAGGAATACACATAAACATAAATATTGCGTTGGGTCTGTTGGAATCAGTTGTTGCCATTATTATTAGTAGTAGTCGTAGTAGTAGTAGTGCAGTAAAATTATAATGAATGGATACCTCTCAGATAGTCCTATGGGAAGATAAAGAATGTCAGACAGTGTTGAAATACAAGACAGTGGCGTCCTATGTTGAACAGCCATAATATATATCAATAAGATATTTTTCTATTTCCAATGAGCAACAAATGAAATGAAAGGAGGTTTAACTCTGAGATTGGACATCATGTCTTCAGCACACATACCAAAGAAGGTTCCCTATCTATTGTACACCAATGCGGTTTATAATGCATCACCTTGTGTGACTCAAACTGAAATAACCACTAGTATCTTTTACTTTCTCCGACCATCTCTTCCCCCAGATATTGAATGTTTAGACTCCACAAAACATTTTTTCTTCCATTATTTATCCCTGGCGCGTATGCAGAGGAGGATATGTACTGTTGGAGATCACACACTGCTCCAATCTATCAGTTATCAGCGTGACGCTGTTTGATGTGCTGAAAAAAGTTGCTCCTGTGATCTTAGCTCGGACTGGTATGGTAAACACGCCTGACAAAAAGTACTATATTTGGCCTTAAGGTCACAATGAGAAAAATGCAAACATCCAGCCCTTGATTTTTCCAGGACCCGATAAAAAAAAAAAATTCCCACAATGAACCGTGCAAGACAATTTGAAGAAGAAGATTCCTATCTGTAATTGTAATGGAGGACGATCCAGCACAAATCGTGGAGTAAAAATGTACTTTGCTGTTTTTACGCACACGTGCCATACGAGGTGACACTGAGAATTGTTTGCCGGGAGGTATTGTAATCGCTCCATCATTCACTCTCCACTGCAGCCCCCCAACACGCTCCTATCACGCCGTTAAGTCCAGCTTGTAATCGTCCCCTCTGGACAGTCCTGCCCCTCACCAGCACCGTGTCTCCTCCTTAAATTCGCTATCTTTGCGGCAGACTCTCACAGCAGCTGCCCTCTTGAACAAGAGGTCAAAAATTCACCCGGAGCACATTTCCTCTAAAACGTGCCAGTGCAAAGATTCAACTCCAAACAATTTCAAATGGCAAGCTGTACTTCCATAGGAAGGGTATGAGTGCCAAATTAAAAATGGTGGTGTGAAAGGATGGACAGAAAGCAGCAGGGTGGTCATACCTGGGGTATCATTTTAATATCTGGGATCCTTCTGACATTCTCACGTGGACAGAGTATTCTTAGAGACCTTGTCACACATTGTTTCCGTTAACTTCAAATTTAAAGAAGATAAAACCGATTTGAATGCAAACTCTAAAACAACACTATCATCTAACAGTAAATAACATTCAATTGTGGCAGTCAACTTGATTCAAAATCATTACTTTCAAACCCACAGCATGCTCAGCCCATGGCCAAGAAGTCATTGTTTGTTTATCATACCATCCACAGTCATGGTTTCATGATATATAAGTGAAGTGGAATTCTATGGAGACCACATGTAGAAATATGGAACGAAGGAGAGACTGACGGAGTCTGCAATTAAGTGAACAGCAAGACGGTGAAAGCATGCTTGATATTAATAGTCCTGTCGCGCCAAAGTCAAGGTTTACTCCCAACCAGTAGGAGAGCAGTTGTTGGGGGACTCATGTGAAGCTCTCCAGCACGAAGCAAACATATCATTCAAATCACCTCCACAGTGCTTTGCATGAAAATTTACAATTTTTTTTTTTTTTTTTGTGTGTGTTCCGTGTTGCCACTGGGCCATTCATTATCTGGCTACATCTGCTTCACTATTGTTGTGTGTAGCTCAACTAGCGTTTCACACTTCAGTTATTTGTTTTTGGGCCAACGCAGAAAAGAGCAGTTGAATGTGGGAAGATGATCGTAAAGTTAGATTTTTTTCGTGCACAATTTGTTCCACCTGATTTCTGAAATGCTTCGCTCCGCTCCAGGGTGTACCTCATCTCTCACCCAAAAATGGGATAGACTACAGGGAACCCAAGCACTACAGAAATCAATCAAATGCTTTCCGTTTGGCCCACATGATTCTTACTATTGTCCATTCAAGAAGACAAGCCACTGACTTACCTGTCTGTCATTTCTTGCCCGTTCCAGCAGAGAGAGTGGTTTGCTGGAGGAGGCTCTCGGCTGCACAGAGACTCCCCGAGACCACTGTAGAAGGAGCTGAATTCTCTCAGATTAGAAATGAACTCCCTGAAGAAGGAGAAGCAAGAAAATGTCCATTACATGACTCGAAAGAGAAAGCTAGCCAATGAGCTCAGTCCCACAGGAGAGCAAAAAGTAGCAATGTCTCTCCTCCTAATTGGTGTTAATGTAGGTACTGTGTTGCAGAGGCCAGTGGGCCCGAGGGGCATTGTTACAAAGTGCGCTCGGGCCTGTTACTGCATTACTTACGAGGGGAAAATAAACGGAATGAAACCAGCAGAGTGCCATTTCGGCGCACAAACACACAACCAAACTAGAAGCCCGTGGTCCGCTCACCTCCGGAGTCCCGCTAAGGTCTCATCAGGATCCGAGGGTGATGGCTGAGTGTTGCGGGCCACAGAGGCAGCGGGATGCTGGAAAGGAGGAGATACGACAGAGCGGGCGGTCCGCTGTTGAGATTGTCCACACATGCCGCTCACCTGCAGAAGAGAGGGAGAAAGGACACTGAGCGTGCTTCTTTTCTACTTCCAGCTTCCGCTTGTAAGCAGGTTCAATGTCACTCCGTTGAGCAACGACGGCACCACAGGCTCTGTCTGCACTCGATCTGCTGAGCCCCTCTGCAAATTGTCATCTGTTTAGGTGTGTTTATTTTGAGAAGGGAAAAAAATTGGGGATTTGCATAACAAACACGTCATTGTATCATCCGCCAGCCATTCTTCAGCTTGTCATCCCAACACTCCAAAACGTGAGGCAATAAAATGAGGCTTCTCGTTTGCCACGCTCCCGAAATAAATGCCATTGTGTTTTCACATGGGATGTACGACGTACCAATAATAAAGAAGGAGTCCCACTCTGTCTCCTAGAGATAATAGACTTGGCACACGCGTTGCAGGTGCTATAAACATGCAAATTGTTGTAAATGTTTCGCTGTTTAAAGATTTGCTGGTGGTTTAATTTCCCCTGGGGATACCGGCCTGAGCTTAATTTTGCCATTTAGCTTTAACAGCTAATTGTGCCTTGCTCTCGTGAAACGGAAGAGACTGGCGCTGCAGCAACACATTACTTATGGAGACTGATTGATCAGTTAACACGTCTATATTCGGAATATGGTGGCACACACTCAGGGCTCAAGCACAAATATGCAATTGTTATCATCTAAAGTCTCCATAAGACTTTTACCCCATGACATGAGGACAACCTAATGTAAAAACTCACACACGCACACATACATGCACACGCATTTATTAACTTGGTGACCTAAATGGGAGATGATCTAAAAAAAAAAAAAAAACACTCACACAACAAGAAGAGTACAGTACCAAACATACACACAGACAAGCACATACACTAACCTGTTTCATGAATCAGCATTGTCGGATCGTAGAACACAGGGGTGTCAAATTCATTTTTGTCGCGGGCCACATTGTAGTTACGGTTTCCCTTGGAGGCCCGTTATGAATTTTGGGAAACCATATAAACTCCACATACACACACACAACAAATGAATGGATAACTAGTTTTAAAATCAGTCAATCAAAGACAAGAATAATGACTGTTATTGCGGATTACAGATGACAATTTGAAATTTTGGTTCAGACTTTAGCAAGCATCATGGAACTTGACATGCTCGATTTGCTTTCGCGGGCCACCTAAAATGATTTGACGGGCCAGATCTGGCCCCCGGGCTTTGACTTTGACACTGGTGGTATAACAGGTCATAACTTAAAGTACAAAATTGGATGTAACTCTCCCTCATGGGCAATTGCTTGAGGACACGTGTCTCAAATTATGCATTGATTAACCCATGGGGTTGGAGGTGCGCGACATTAATACCCCGATAATGTGCCCACCACAGTCAGCCCACAGTCAGCCCATAATATGTATTTGTTATTTTGTTTAAACGTGTACAATGTTTAATTTTCTTTAAGTGGCAGACTGTGAGTGTTAGTTGTTGCTGGAGCCTATCCCAGCTCTCTTCGGGCAGTAGGCGGGGGACACCCTGAACTGGTTGCCAGACAGTCGCAGGAGACAGGACGGTCGACGCTTCATACGTGTGTTGTGGTAACATGTTTCAATTGTGCAAAGACATTTTTACTCAGCATCGATGCTCCTTCCCCTGATTGGGTATGAGCGGATTCGTGAGGTGACAGTGGCCGTCGGTGGATAGGAATGTTCGTGCGACAATAATTCCATGACGTGTGCTCACCTTGCGTTTCACCCTCCCCCACATTTTTCTTTCCTGCTACGTCAACCACATGAGTCAAATAAATGTTTTATATGACAATAATATGCTATACAAACTCCAATACAGGTCAGGTAAAAAAAAGTTTCATCCATTGCACACATTTGCTGTGAGCTGGGAGGGTGAGAGTAGTGCGGAATTGCTCACGCAACTTAGAGGGAACACGACCCTACCGAGGATAAGCGGTTCTGAAGATGGACGGATGGTTGGACGGATATATTGTTTGTTGTCTGGCTTGACAATAAAAACAAACGCACTAAGACAATAACAAACACATTTTTCCTCCTCCTGTCCCCAAAAGGTAACAATAGGAGGTCCCCGTGGACCCCACAACAGACGGAATAATTTGGCAAAACACACACACACACACACACACACACACACACACACACACACACACACACACACGTATCCATGCACTCAAAATTCCAAATACAACATGAGGTTTCCTTGGTATACTCCCCAGAAAGAAAAGTGGACCTCACAACAAAAGTCAGATGTAACCTAAACTACACTAAACAAACACACGCACAGTCGCACACACACACTTACATAAATACCTATTTATGCTATATTAGGGCCTCATAACTTGACAAATACTTAAACACATTCGCATAAACACACACGCACGCACACATTGTCTCTGTCAGTGAACCCTCTTCTCCGACATCCTCTCTTGTAAATGTCCCCGCTGCGCTGTACCTGCGGCGAGCACTGATGCTCTCTGGCCATGATTAATGTGATTGGAACCATGTTCTTCTTTTGGTTGGCACGTTCCTTCAGAAGCCACGGGGGACTCTGGGACGGAGCGATTCAGCGCAGACGCCCCTCCGCCCACCCATGCCGGATTGTTTTGCGAAATCCTCAAGGAAGGGGCACATTATCGGGGTATTAATGTCGCGCAGGGATGGACTAACACGAGCTACAGGGTAGCAGCTGATAAGGCCTGTCTCAGTGGGAGTGCTTGGAAATACCTGCCCAGTTTTATCTTCACTGAGCAGCCTGCCGCACTGATGGCGGGATGGAGCCTGTCCACAAGTCATAAAACACACAATCGGGCCTTATTATTTGCAAGTGTACAAGCATGCACCTCAGCTCTTCTGGGTCTACATCGCAACATGATGTAAAGCTGCAACAGCAAATAAATACTTGGATAAGACAACTTTCATCAGAATTCCACTTGACTGGTCGTAATATTACACTTTTTAGTAAGCAATTTGACGGAGAAGATATTGGCCGTGAGCAACTTCACTATGGCCCTTTCTTAATTTAATAGACGTTTACAAAGAGTGCACTCGATTCTTAACGTAACATTTTGACATTTGTAGGCACTATTTTCGTGCCCGGCGCCAATCGAGTGTGCAAACTACAGTCGAACCTCTTTCCAACGTATCCCGTTTACAATGTGTTCACCACTATAACGTTCACATTTCAAAGTCCCAATTAATACATTTTCCATTTGCTGATTTTGATAACAACCAACACCATTATAAAAGTAAACTTCATTAAAATGACTGGATTTTTCCCGCAGCGTCCAAAACAGTCAGTTCCAAACCTTTCTTATCAATTGCGGACGCCGCACCCTTTCATCATACCATAAGGACCCCCTCACTCATATGGGTTGACGAGTTCTCCAAATGCAGAACATAACACAACTGATTATGATATGGAAATCTTTTTATTTCGTCTCCATTATTTTCACAGTTCTTATCCATTATCGTCCTCTTAACTGAAATGAAACATGAAAATAAATTTCCTTGCAAATAAATCAGAATTATTAATAGAAATTTAAAAAGTAGGAATTCAAAATAAATAAAAATGCTTTTGTTATGCCCCCCCCACCCCCCAAAAAATGGAGCTGATTATTTGACTCAGTGCCCTTTAAGCGGGCATTTAAACTTGTCTCCCTCGGGAAATTAGTTGGAGCCCACTCAATCAATTTCATTGACAGATTTATGTAATTATTGAGAATATTTGCTTTTCATCTTGGAAATAAAATAAGAAATGTTTGCACATAGCCACATCAATGTGTTCGCTTACCAGCACTACCAGCTGGGAAATACCGCAATAGCCGGCCACTGAGCCAGATGTGGCTCCCAAACTGTTTTCCAAGCTCAGATGATTCTCATAGCGGTATGGCCGCAAGCCACACTTCGCTTCGCACAGTTCAGTGCGCAGTTAAAGGCCACTCATTCATTGTTTGTGAGGCTTTGGGCACACAAGGTCGGTGCTTAACGAGTGGCAAGCTCGCTTTCATTGAAAAATGTATTCCTCAACTGTGTGTTGGGTCAGCACGTGTAGACTGGAACTTGTCTACATGCAAACAATACACAGACCTGCCTGTTCAATTGCTCCAAAGTCATTCATTGTTCGGGAAAATATGTTCACCTCTTCAATGGAGGTGCATTAAGCATGAATCCTTTTAGTGCACATCTGTATAATTTGTTTTTCAAATGGACCAATTCATGTCCTGTACGTGGGCAGTGATGTCACGGTAAATGACTGGATCAAAAGAGTTGGCACAAAAGAGTCAGTAGTGTGGGTGCCAGATAATTCATTTCTTTCGGCTGTGTGCGTCAATGACAAAGTGAGTAGGGACACCCACTTGCAGCGGCGCCTTGAGATAGTTTAATTCATTCAATCCGTCTGTGACGTCTCTGTAATATTTGAAAAGCGCTATACAAGTGGCAGCCCATTTACCCTGACTGACCTCGACAAATCGATCTTTGACTCAATGCACAATGTATTAAGGATTTCTATTTGCATACCCCTAACTTTGGTGAAGGTGCTTCATAGTGGATCAGCTATTCTAAGGTCAGATTTTTCAGAATTCAGAACATATAGTACATATAGAACATATAATAACATATAGTACAGTATGAGTTCTTGCAAAATAACTTCCTGCCTAAGTTCGGATTGTAAATCAATCCGCTTCATATACTTTGGCTTCACATGAAAAAGACATGACGGAAAAAAAAAAAAATTACATTCCAAAGTCATTAATCTGCCACGAAGAGTAAAACAGATGAGTCAACGATGCGATTCACAGCAGAGTTTAAAATAGAGGTCTCTTCCCAGCAAGTCTATGAGACTTCTCCTGTAAGAAAAATTGATTTCACAGTTTTCACTCACAGTTCCGTAATTTCTGAACCATTAGGAGTTGTTAAATGCGTGGCTTCCACTTTTTAGCCACTGCTTCTGGGACTGATAAAACATCAAAAAGATTTGAATGTGTTT